AAGTTACCAATGAGATGTTTTCTAGGTAGTGCCTGGGAATGCTAAACTTCTAGCCTATACATAACAGACCTATACAGAGTACTAATACAATGAATCAAAGTACTATTCCCTTTCTTTCCCTTTTTACTTATCTAGTGGCCTTAATTGGCTCCAGAAAGCCTGGCTTAGTTCTAGCATAATGTTAATGAAGAATTTGCATTCCAAAATAAAACTGATATACTTAATATACTTAAAGGATTTTATTTTTTACTGTAACATCAGCTCCTGTTAATGTTCTAATTGGTGTCTTTGTGGGTCATCAGGTCAAAATGACATGCTCAGATTTGGGAGGAGGATGTGGCAGTGGTGGGGGAAGGGCTGTTCAGGCATTGAGACTGTTGCAAAAGAGGAGGAAACATCCATTACTGGATTAACACCCAGATAAAACCTCAAGATTGGGCATACATAGTTTGTTTCTTCTCTGGAAGAGAAATTGCATGTTTGATGGCATCAGGATATGTTCTGTTCAGTATTTTCATAAATTCCTTTTTTCAATATAAAAATAATACGCAGAGTTGTTGAGTTTAATATTGACCATAAAGAATTACTAAAAAGTTCCCGTAACTGGATAATAAGCTAGGGGGTAGAAATTAACTTTGATAAAATGTGAAACAACAGACTTGAAAAACAACATTTATAAATGCGTATAAGTGTTGGACTCTAACATAGTGTTATAGAAAAGATTTTAGTGTTGTGGGTATTTCCCTGTAAGAATTAAATCATTGCATACAGCAGGGTTTTGGGGGGGAAAAAAAGGACAAATTGAGTACTAATACTTATTACAAAACACATTTTTAAGAAAATAGAAAGCACTACTATGAAACAGGAATAAACCTATGGTCCTCCCACATCTTGATAAGTACCAACAGTTCTGACCATCTTATCTGAACAAGCTCTAATAGAGCTGGATAAAATAAAATGACAAGGTTAATAAAAGATATGAAATGAAAGAGTTGAGGTGAGCCTAAGGAGAGCATTTTGGCTTTGATAAGGGATAATTGAGGAGGATATTACAATTGTGTGTGAAAAAGTTAATATCATACAGAAAATGGAGAGATGTTGACTTTTTCTTAGGCAGCCTGTCAGGTAAGAATGTCCAGCAACAAGTTTACAAAAAAAAAAAAAAAAAAAAATCATGCAACATAATTAAATATGGAATTGAAATATCCTTTGGCAGGCAGTTTTGGTAGCCAAAAATGTAAATGGGTTCAAAAAGAATTAGGGTAAATTAATGAAGGATAAATCTGTCAGTGGCTATTAATACTCAGGCACAGTACTCACTTTCAGTATATGGGAATAGTACTTGACCAAAATAAGGAAAAGGAAACAGAACTAGTTCCATGCTTATTGCTCCTTGGACATCAGCTACTGGCCACTACAAGCAATTAAATTGTTAGCTAGATGGGACCCTAATTTGTTTGATTACTGTCTCAAAGCCTGCAGTCTTCCATCAGGGATGCCAAATCTTGGGGGATTCCATCCTTTGAATGTGATTTTTAAGTCTTTCCGTTCGTTTACCTTCGCTACTGTTTGATAAGGTGGTAAAACAACACGTAAGTCGGTCAGTAAACAATTACTGAACATGATAACATAGGACAAGGGTGTGAATAAAACTGATTTTGAGATGTCTGCACTGCAGCAGCAGAGTATGGATCTTTAATCGGTGTATTTTTTTTATTCCAAGGCAGACACAATGTATCCTCTGCTTTCAGTGTTTTTCTTTCTACTGGGTACTGTATCCACATAGCAGAATAGAAGCCTCTTTTAGGCACAACTGTTGTATTTTCCTTTTGACTGGCATAACAGTCAAGAACCCTTATGAAATCATTTTACAGTAATACTCTTCTGGCACTATATTTTTTTTATATCTGTCGTGAAGAGAAATAAATGCTTGCTTTCTCGTTTTCCCATACTGTAAAGATCTAGTATTTCCCCTAGAGACCACCCACTGTGTGACAGGTATTTGAAAGCTTTCCTAGCCACTGAGCAGGTGCCATAAAGACTTCAGCAATAGTAAATTTTGGGGAGATGGAGGAGGAAACATTTGCACTAATGAGTCCCTTGTGCTTTTCAGGAATAAAAATATTCTCAGGCTTTATATTTCTATAATCTGTGATGTCTGCAACATCTTTCTGCTGATGCAGAGTCAATGTTGTTGCAAACTTAAGGACTATGACCCAGAAACCATTGGGCTGCTTGGTCACCTCAGCTCTGTGCTATAGTTGGAGTTCAGATATTTAATGTATGATCTTCTCCCTCATTTTCTCTGTGCTTTTACTCAATTAGATGAAGTCATCCATGACTAATTAGAAACTTGTTTTCTAACTAGTAATTTATTTAAATAGTTTTGTAATTCATTGGTGTGAGTATTCTCAGGACAAAATGTTTAACAGGAATATTTATGGAAAAAGCTTTTAGGTTTATAGGAAGAATTGTTATGGAGTATTTAAATGCAGAAGATGTATACTCTAGCAGACCTCAGTATTGTAGGGAGAGCTGGGATACAACTGTGCAGTCTGGCCCAGACAATGTTCTCCTGCTATGCTTGATTTAGGAGGAAGCACTACACTGTGTCTACGTTACTGCCATATTGTTGCTGACAGAATATATTATCTCAAGCATAGTCCACATCTGCCTTTCATCCAATTAGCAAGGACAGGGAATTTCAGATAACCTTCTGGCTGTACTTGGTCTATGAACAGCCTACACTTAGAAATTAAGCCTGAAAATCCTTGCCATGGGGAGTAATGTATAAACCTTTGGGTCCATGTAGAAATTTGAGATCCAGTTGTACTCTCCACCTGAGGTATAACATTATCAAGATTAGAGGGAAAGATCCTATGGACATGACCTTTACCTATGTACTTGGAAAGAACCTTTTAACTTCCCATGCAATATAGAAGGAAGGGCTTTGGCAGCAACAGCTCTTATCTGTTGTCAAAGACCCTCAAAAAAGCATGGGGACTCCTAGTCCATACAGGAATCTATGGCTGAGCTCAGCAAAGCACTAATGCTTATCACCTATTCTCGTGACACCAAGGAGTAGGTTAAACTTGCTCAGGATGTTTCAGGTTAACTATCTTAAAAGCTCAATTGAAAAGCATAGATGCAAAAAAATATGATATATCTGAATGCAGTCTCAATATCATGTGCAACAGCTCTTGGTACCCTACCTCCAGGATCTGTAGATGAACATGCTCTGTGTAGCATTTTGTAAGAGGTGCACTGAAGTTCCCACAGATTCAGGAATCCATGTTTGGACCTCTCTTTTACATCATTTTTCAAATGAAGTGCCCATAGTTTCAACTATGAAACCTGGAGATCTGAATTCCCAGGCAGGTAAAAGGTGAGTACCTTATCAACAAAGCTCTAAATGCATGGTTAACTTAGAAAGTAAGCCTTTAGCATACCTGTACTAAGCACATTAGCTCCATTAATTAGATGTCTAAACCATGACCTTTAAGGACCTTTCCGTCTGGGAAGAGCTGCCGTCTATCAGTTAATTTCAAAAGAATACTCCTTACGTTTACATAGCTCTTCTAATTACAGGATCTTAATGTGCTTTTACAAGCTGTGCCTCTGTCCTAGGAAGTAAATTTGCTGCAGGTAAATGCAGAGAATAATATAATAGCAGTTTTGAGTTAAACGTATAGATACAGATGGCAGTTTCTTCAGAGAATGTTACATCAAGCTATTCCAGCCGTTTTGGCTTTGAAGTGACCATAGGGTGTGCTCAGCACAAGCCACTGCTGTTGCATCAGCTAAACTTGCAATTCCAGATCTCAGAGTCCCTTGACCTCTAGGAAACAAGAATGAGAAATCTGAACATGGCAAAAGTGATCTAAGTGTATCAGTGAGGAGAGAGTGTAAGTGAGATAAAGGGTTGTGCACACATGACCTTATAGATAATTATTTAAGGCCTTCATTCTTAATTCACAGGTAGGAAAAGGATCTGTAGGTTTCTAGAAGAGTTAGTGAAAGACTTCCTGGCTAGCTGTAATCAGTGCTGTATGCACATGGTGTACCTTTAAAGGATTTAGGCAAAACTGGGGAAAATGGACATGCATTAATTAGGTTTATAATCCATACTTTACATGATTTGGGATGTGTTTAGAATTGGTTTGAAGCAGACAGGTACAGCCCAGTGAATAGGCTGTTGCTAGCTTCACCCAGGCTGGAAGAGGTACAATAACTTGTACCAGGTAGTCTGCTAGAATTGCTGAAACGCAACAAAATGACCTCCTAGCTGAGCTGTGGCAGCCCTGATTTGACTAGTTGCATTTCTAGGTAGATGTCAATTTGTAAGATGTATTTCATTTAGATACATTTTGTTTGTTTATTTCTAGAAAGGTATGTGTCAGTGGTTTTTCTGAGCACTCAGACTACTTGTATCCTTGCTTTTATGTAAAGGCACTCAGAACTAAGGACTGCGTGGGTCAGCTTGCCAAAGCACTCTACTTGACCATAAGTTTATACACTTCTGTCATGTGTAATGAATTTTTGTAAAGCTTTTTCTTAGTAGGCTCAGTATGTGGCAAAAGTATGTGCGCTGAGTGCTGAAAAATTCTTCCCTATAGATCTTGTTTCTCCTATACCAATGTGTAAACTGCTATTATCACTGTGATCTGAATAATATTAGAGAATGGTTTAAAATGTTCAAGCCAACAGTTCTGACTTGCAGTTGCTAAAACAAGAGAAATTTATTTATAGCTAAGAATACTGCTATACATAAAAATGTGGTCTGCATCCCCAAATAGATACCCATAACTTCTTCAGAATATTCAGCCTGTCGGCTCCTTGATGATCCAGTGTTTGTTACAGAAACAAAAGCTACAGTAGTTAATTGGGGATTACTGCTCCCATTTGTAGTTTATTTACTTGCTGATAAATCAAAAGAAACTGAACTGCATTTCTTGTAATGCATGAAAACCATGAGGGATAAATTTGCATTTTATTTTTAGGAGGTATGATCTGCATTCAAGCAAGTCTACTTCCAGCTTCTCACAGCCTCTTCTGGGGATGAACTGGGAAGTCTGGATGCACAAAGCAGAGCACATTTGTCATGGATGGAAACAACTATGCTATACATTTCACATTTCTCTTGTAAGAGAGAAACAGGAGTATATTTATTGATTGTAATATAGATATCATGGAGTGATTTAACAATGACTTAGTAAGATTTGAGATGGCTGGATGGACCTGATTATTTATTGCACAGATAGTAGGGTTAAAACACAGATATTGGAGACCCTTCTGTTGGGTCATGAGGTTCAGAGTGGACCCCCTTTCTTTCTTACCTTTTGGTTCTAGGAATTTAGGAGCCTAGGTGCAGTTGAGCCCAATCCTACCCCCAGACTTGGTCGATGATTTATGTTGAAGGGATCATGTGTGCACAATCAATGATCTAATCTTAGCAAAGCTAACAAAGCTTAAAGCCATCAGTCACTTCCTGAGTATCTGTATCAGCAAAATGTCTTGATGTCAAAGTGTAAGGGATCTCTGTGCAGACATAACCTTGAGAGATATCCCTACTCAAGGGGAGATCCTGTTGTGCAGCCAGCTGCCACACAGAAGAGCTCCAGGGCCTCTTGGGCTGCTCATTATTTATGGGGTAAGATAACTGACTCATAGTCATACTTTGTTTTTAGGCATGTGCTCAATTGGCCCTCAGCTGTTGAACAGGCTGTCTGCTATCAGCTCTTTCAACCCCCCAGTTTGTAACAGATTTGTGGTCATTAATCTGCCTAAGAATTTTATCAGTGCTGTGAGGTTGGGAGCACACCGTCACAACATCTCTCCCCTGCGATGCTATTTTCTTGTCTGCAGCTTTTATTTGTAGTGATTCGCTTGCTTTCCAAATATTGCCTCCAATGCAGTTCAACTTCTGAGGAGCAAAAGTAAAAGTCAGTCCTAGAGCTCTGGTCCGAGGCAGGTTTGTCTCTAACAACACCTGTCCAGGACATCTCGGCAGATGAGCAGCAGTGCACTGTGCACAATGAAGAGGGGTGACCTGCCTGAGGCTGTCCTGAATTCTGCACTGTGCAAAAAATGTGACCAGTAGGGTTTGAGCCTGAGAGCACAGAGTGAAGCAGTCTCAGGAGACCACTGAGATAATGATCTGCCAAGTCTAAACCTCCTTGTTTCCCATGCTTACCTTGAAGGGCTGAAATAACCTTGCTCAAAATATTGGCATAGTTTATGTTTTAGAAGACATGCTAATGGACTCAATTTGAAAGATCATGGCAGATAGATGTTGTGTATCTTCATATGTTTTTTTAATTGCTTATTGCAAATTGAATCAGAAGCATAAACAGTTCCTTGAAGTAGGAGAATGAGGTAGAGCAGAGGCAAAACCTAGGGGCTGCAGGAAAGGTCTGTCACAGAAAATACAAAAGGAAAAGTAACAAGAAATGAGAGCAGATATTTGGAGAGAAGCACTCAATCACACCATGGTGTTCAGTGTAAACCCAACACTGGACTAAAATTACTAAGTGTACAGGAGTGCAAACAGCCAGCTAGCAATTTGTTTTGGTAATTCTGCTGCAATAGAAAAAGCATCTGACTTCAGAGAACAGAGTAGGGAAGCCTTGAATTACTGTTTGCCTGCTGAGGAGAATGTGCAGACCATGAACTACTGCTTGGAGTGAAGTAAAGCTTGATTGAATGCACAGACCTGCCTGCTGCCTTTTGAGATGAAGCTCTGCTTTCTGTCTCTCCCTGCCTATCAAACTTACTTTATGAGAAGAAACAATCTTTCTCTCTTTAAAGTAGGAACTATTCAGGTCTAAAGTGTGAGATGTCAGACCTCTTGTTTTACAAACAGTGGATAACATTCACTGTGTAATATTTACTGATTATTATTAATCACTGTAGCTAACATCTGCAGATCTCATTCATTGTGTATTAAATTTATAGCATGGCAGTTCAATAAGGAGCAGATTATGAATTAAAAGTCAATAATGGCATTATAAGCATTCTTTTTGAGGGTTGTTTTTCTAATTATTTGCAATCTGTCATCCAGACAGTCTATGATAACTCATCTTAGAACAAAAGCAGCATATCTGCTACTCAGCACAGGAGGCAAGCTGACCCTCCCTCTTCATTTTAATGTGTTATGACTTATGTACTCCTGCTTTTTTTCCACTAAAGTGAGGGGAGGGAGAATCTCATCAGATCTGTAGACCTGGTTTTACCTTGGGTATGAAAATAGCTCTTTTAGAGATGCTGTACCTGAAAATAGGCTGAAATAGAATGTCCCTAATGCTTAGTTCAGCTGTTTGCCAAGGAGAAGGGAAATGAGCACTGCATTGTCTCCAGTTTTTCTACTGATTCTGTTTCTGTCTGATTCTTTTCTGCTTATATGCACCCACGAAGTGGGTGCACTACTACCTGCAAGGAACTGAGCAATTTAATTACGGATTTGAGAAACACCGATGTTCAGTACTTCTGCTCAGTTCGTCATGTGAAGTGACCATCTCCAGGGATTAAAGAATAAAAAAAGCAAGGGCTAAAGATTTTTAATTTTTCTTTAAAAGGTGGTCCTCTTACCTCCAGGGACATAATTTGGAGATATCAGAGTACTCTGAAGAGTAAAGGGAAACGGGATAAAAATCATTTTTTCAAAATAGATTTGCAGATAAGCGGGAATGCCGGAGAGAGAATGAGAAGGGAGAGTGTCAAGAATAATTTGTCACTGCACATTGTGCCCTTGGATGTTAGACACAGGCCAATCACTAACCTCTTGGTTGGGAATGGAAGAATCCAACTATTTTCCCAAGCTTTTTCTTAGGGAACAGACTGAGTGATGGTGACTGGGTTCAGAAGGTGGGATTCTTTTCTGGGAAGGGTGAGGGTCAGGGTTCTGGGAAGGTTTTATATTGTGACCACTGGATCAGCTGGAATTTTGCCTGTGATTTTAAATGATCTGTATATTTTCCCTAGATTTTTGGAGAGACACGTTTTAAAATCTGAAGAGATAAAGAACTTAAGTTTTATTATTTATTCTATTTAACTTGAGGATGTTTGAAAAGTTTCCTAACCTTTTCTTTCTTTCTTTTTTTTTTTTTTTTTTTTTATGAAATAGTGATTTAAAGGTTAAGCTCTTGTAATTCTACTCCACAGTTTGGTCAGATATTTTTAAGATACTTATTCCTATAGCATGTATGTTATGTCCTTCTCATTGTGCTTACGTGGCTTGTGGATTAAATTTTGGGTTGATAGTTAACTTCTTACTGGTGTTCCTATTCGTTCTGCCACTATTAGCTATTTACCAACAGCTATTTGTCCACTTGGAAGCATGCTGTTTTGATCCCATTGATCCACTCCTTTGTGTTCCAGTTTGTCCTCTGTGTCACCTCTGACATGGGCACATCCATCAGTTTTGTGTCATGTGGATCTCATGACGTTGCTTTCACATAGATAAGATTTTCCATGTTACACTCCTGAGTATGATATCTGGGTACTCAGATACCAAGGCTGTGTTCGCAGCATCAGGACTTGAATAGAACAAAGCAAACCAGGTTTTGGTGACAGTTACAAATGCTTATGATTTTTCTTTGACTTTTTCCACTGTTTCTCAGGCTCTTTCAGTTGCTGTCACTGAATATTTATCTTAGTTAAACATGCAGTATATCTGGTACGTGTTCTGCTGAATTAATATGCGACAGCATCTTCGCAGTGCTTTAGAACTCTTGCTGCAAATGCAAACGTGTTGTGCTGCACTGCTCAAAAGTTTTTAATTAAGAGAATTGTTACTTGTGTGTCTGCCCCAAGTTAAGGTAACTTTGCATCAATTATGATAACACTGTGAATCTGTCTCTGGGAGAGAGCTGTTTGGGTGAACATTTCTAAGCGATGCATATAAGGACTGGGGCAGATCTGAACTGTGTGACTGAGACACACGGATGTTTAGTGGTGTTTGCTGTTGCCTGTATTGTGTGCTATTTAAGCCTGCTACTAGTAAATGGCAGTCACAAACCCTCAAAGCTTTTCTGGAGTGAGTTACTTTTTTATTTTTTTATTCCTTCAAACACAGATGCATGTTTTCCCTTGACTAAGTCTGTCACATTACAAAATATCAAGAGCAAACTAGTGTGTGCATTTTTCTTACATTTCCCTATTTTCTTTTGGCAAACCAGAATGTTATGTCATTTCAATATTAAATATATTTTTGTCATTTCTTTAAAGCTTACCCTGTTTCCTAAAGACTCAGTGAAGACCAGCATGGCAACATTTGAAAGACTAAAGGTGGAAACTAACCTAACTCTTATAACGTCATCTGTCAGCTAAGTAAAATCCACAACAAATTCACATATAGACCTGTTAGGAAACTTAACTTGAAAAAAGGTCACATTTTTCTTTAAAGCAGTTGTTTTGTGTTGTTTTTTTTTCTTTGTTGTTTTTGTTTTGCACCTGTAACTTACTGGCACAGCTGATGACACTTAGGCTTTGATTCAGCAAAGCACTTAACCATGCTACTTAGTCCCATTGACTTTAATGGAAAGTAATTACATGTTCCAACAAAGCACATACAGAAGCGGTTGGCTGAATCAGGGCTTTAGACATCATAATGAGAACCTGGTTGGGAGGGAAGGGGGGAAACTGAATTAATGCAGTGCTAAAAATCAAGTTTATGCGCTCTGAAAATATGCAGTAAGGACTCATTTGTGGCAGTGCTCTCCCTGTGTTGTCACATTGAGCTCATTGCTATACAAAAATCGAGAAAACAATTCTAATTCCTGTATCCATGCTGTTGCATGCAGAGTTCACATGTATGTTATCACACGCTGGAGTTAAATCGCTATGCAATGATTACAAATGGTACCAGTTCTTTCTTCAGCATTTTTTTCTTTGACGTTCAGTCTCTGTTGGTATGAGCTGTATTAAAATAACAACTTGAAGTAATACTAGAACCTGACATACCTGTTAATATAATCTCCAGTAAAATACTACAGCAGAGCTGTAAGGCTAGCTACTCTATAGTTCTTGAATTATAGTATATAGAGACTGTGCGTGGTTTCCAACCACTCCTGTTACATTACACTGAGTCTTAATTTCATCTCCTTGAGAAGGTTTTACTACTGAGCACAGAGCAAATTCTGCTCACTTTATATTCCTGGTGACATTAATTGTTGTACTCACATAAAGATTTGGCTCAAGGGATGTATGACTAAGAATATTGCTTTTCTGTAAATTCTGATGGAAAGATGCTGCTCAAGATGTAGTGGCTGAAATAATTTACAGTTTGGTTTTTTTTTCCATTACTGAGCATCTGTAGCTGATGAACCAACAAGTTGACTTATTTTGTATGTGTTGGGAGCACACAGAGCTGATGTTCAAGCTAATTCTTTCACAGTGATTTACCCAAGCTACTAGGGTTAATGGGATTAGCTGGATCTTGATTTCTGAGAAATACTGCCAAAATTCCATAGAAGAGGTCAGTTCAGCACCTATCCAGCTGTTGAACCAGATAAGGAGAAGCTGTGGTTGTACCTCTATG